AGTATCGGGTCGCGAGATATCTCGTCAAAAGCGTTAATCGGTCAGTATTGGGCCGCGAGATATCTCGTCCAAGGTAACGCAAGGGTTAAGGGGGGTGGAGTTTTTCGGCAAATCGCTCGCAAACGCCCTTCGTCCCTTCCCATCCTTTCCAGGGGTGGAGGGATTTCGACGCACGACAGGGGTTACCTTTTGCACACCTCCTAACAGCGAATTAACCACCCCGACAAGCGACGGGATCCCCAGGAAGAATAAGGGTAGCCAAGTGGCTCGTCTTCCCCACTTCCCTCGTTATCCCACCCCCGGATTTTCTAGGTGTTTTCGAGCGGTTCCAAAAAGAGGGGAGGGGGGGAGGAACTTTTCCGTCGAATCAGGGCACAGTCGAGTCCCCCCTCCTCCCCCCATCCACCCCAGGGTGGGTGGGCGGAAATCCGACGCGTGCCGGGGGCGCGATTTCCCGCGGCCGATTCCGCGCGACGAAATATCGCCGACAAAGCGGATTACGGGGATTGCGACCGATGGATTACCGATAAATCCCGCGGGCCGGGACAAGCCGCGGCGGAGGAAAGCGCGCGGGGGGGTGGNCCCCTCCCACCCCCACCCACCCCCCGTGGGGGTGATTCAGGGGGAGGCGAAATTCGGCAACTTTCCGCGCCGCTTATCGACTGCGAGGAGAGGAGCGAGATGACGATACGGTCCCGGGGCGAGGGGAGGGACGAGGAAACGGGACCGGCGGCCATCTTGGTACCGGCGACCTAACCTAACCTCTCCCGGGCGTTATCGCGGCGCATCGATTGCGGCTACCTTAAACGCCGATCCTATCGGAGCCCGCGATCGGCAGTCCCGGGGGACAAAGGAACGTGGGCGGAATATGTATCCCGGCGGGCGGGGAAAAAAAAAAAGAAAGGGAAAAAGAAAAAGAAATCGAAAAGGAAGGGCCGGGCGGCGCGTCGACGCCCAGCGAGGATACAAGGAGGGACGAGAAGAGGCAGAGAGAGAGAGAGAGGAGCGCGAACGGAGCCCGGTAACCCAAGCCTCCTGGGGGAGGTTAGATCGGCACGGCCGATAAAAGGGGCCCGGCGGCGCGATCCGATCGAGCGGACGCGACAGCTCGCTGACCCGCGGCGCGCGGCGGCGCATGCGCGCCCCAGGATACGCGCCGGCCCGTGGGAGGTAGAGCGGCGCGCCAAGTCGGAGGTAGAGCGGACGCCACCGAGGAATGCCGGGACGGGGGGAGGTAAGTCGCTCTCGATCGCCTGGAAAGGCGAGATCCCCCCCTCGAGATCGAACGGTATCGATACCCTTCGGGCATTATCCAGATCCCGGCGCACTCGGGGCGCGCGCAGTTTTCCCCGCTTTGTGCGTGCGAGGCCTCCGAGGTGAGGAGACAATGGCCGCGACCCGAGGCCCCTCCTGCCCCGGCCGGAAAGGAAGGCAGAAACCCTGGAAAAAGGGAAAAGGGGGCTGGGGGGGAGGAACGGGCGAGTCGCGAGAGCGCGACTCTCGGGCAACCCCCTTTCATGGTCCCCCCCTCCCACCTATGAACTCGCCGTCGCGCTTTCAGGCCGCCGCGACGGCCGACGGCGGCGACGCCGACGTCGCTCCGCGGAGAAGAATCCGCGGAGTGATTCCGCTCCCTCTCGCCGTCTCTCTTGCTCCCTTCTCGTCGGAGGGACGAAGAGAGAGAGAGGGCTCCACAATGCGTCCCAGGGATCGTCGAGGGGGGTTGGCGCGGCATTGTGGACGTCACCGGAGCACCAGACGCGCCCCCGCGTCGTCTGGCCCCCTGGGCCGGGGCGGGGGCTCGCCGGCCCCCGGGGGGGATCGCCTCTGTTCGGGGGTGCCGACTCGTGAACGGCGCCCGGAAAAATGCCGCGGCCTTTCTTCCGGCCGCTCCTCCGAGGAGGCTCGCCGAGAGGCTCCGCGAGGGGGTGGCGGCGAGGGGGAGGCGCCGCGACGCCTTCGAGGGTGCTCGCTACGGTTCCTCCCTCTTTTCCGGCTTTCGCTCCGGCGTGGGTTTTTTCTGCGCCCTTACTTTCTTCCCCCCCACGAGTTTTGCCCGAGCGCGATGATTGCGACGTAATCTGCTTTGGCCCGCTTTGGGGGCCGCCGACCGCTCTTTGGGAATCGCTGGCCTCCGGCGGCTGCCTCGAAGAGGGTGAAGAGGACCCGGACGGAGCGCCCTGCTCCCCTCGGAGGGGGTTTATCCTATAAACGACGACGCCACCCCCGCGGATAATCTGGCCCCCGGGGCCTGAGTGCGGTTGAACGGTCGCAACAGTTACCATATTTGATTGTCCCCCCCGGACGGCTCCCCTAGGATAATACCGCAGCCCAGATGCATCCGGGGCCCCCCTGTTCGCGATGCTGACGAACCGGCTCCCAGCCTTTCGCGCCCACGTCGAAAGGGATGCCAGATTCTGTTCCTTCTACTTTGGGAGGGAATATAAAAAACGAAGAGAAGAATATTTGAAGCGGGATTTGTTAAACTTCTGGGGTCCCTAGGCCCCTCCTGTTCGCGATGCTGACGAGCCGGCTCCCAGCCTTTCGCGCCCACGTCGAAAGGAATGCCAGATTCTGCTCCTTCTACATTGGAAGGGAATATAAAAAAGGAAGAGAAGAATATTTGAAGCGGGATTTGTAAAACTTCTGGGGTCCCTAGGCCCCTCCTGTTCGCGATGCTGATGAGTCGATTTCAAGCCTTTCGCACCCGCGCCAAAAGGGATGCCAGATTCTGCTCCTTCTACATTGGAAGGGAATATAAAAAACGAAGTGAAGAATATTTGAAGTGGGATTTGTAAAACTTCAGAGGGTTCTGAGCCCCCCCTGTTCACGATGCTGACGAACCGGCTCCCGGCCTTTCGCGCTCACGTCGAAAGGGAATGATGACGATGATGATAAACCTGTTAAGGGGATGTGAAAGTGGCATCCGAAAGCTCAATCCTTCATGAAACTTTTCAAGCTTTGCAACGTGAACATGGAGACTATAAGAGAGGTCCTGGCCCACGTGAAATTTAATTTTTTATACCAAATTTCGAAAACATCAATAAACAAATGAGTGAAAAAATAGAAATTTCACGGGTGTCGCGACCTTTCTTATAGTCTCCACGTTCACGTTGTAAAGTTTGAAACTATTCGGTCCACTCAGCTCGAAGAGAAGTTTCGTAAACGAGACCTCTTCGACGCCACTTTGACGTCCCCTTAAAACTAAAAGTAAAAAAAAATGAAGATTAATAATCACCGGGGGAGAGAATCTACGAGAAAACGGCAAGGTAACCCTCAAATCCTGGGTGTCTCCGGCGTATCGGAGGAAACATCAACCCCCGGGGGCCGTGGCCACCCCGTGCGTGTGCGCTGCTCCTGACGCACCCCCGGCCGGCGGGGCGAAAAAGCGCGCCGGCCGTTTGATGTGCGCCGCCAAAGGGCCGCCCGCGCGCGGTTGCGTCGCGGGGAAACGGGGCTCGCAAAATCCCACCCCCGCGGCCCGTTAACGCAACAATTATTCCAAAAGCGGCGCCGCGGCGAACCGCGGCCCCGCCGCCGGAATTTAACATCGATATTAGTATCGTTTCGCCCGGCGCGGGGATTAATTAATTAAAACGCGCCGGCCCTTCCGCGTCCGGTTTTCCCCCGGTGGTCAGCGGCTTCGTTTCCGCACTTTTTGCGGCTTGGAGTCTCGCGGTTGGGGAGGGGCCCTGATTCGTCGTCACTTCCGCGGAAAAAAAAGAGGAAACAAAGGGTGAAACGCTTGCTCACTTCTTAAGGGGACGTGAAACCCCCTTCAAATCAGTTGATTCGAATACAACACTTTTTTTTAAGGGTATTGGACCAAACTGTCCGAAACTTTGACACATCACTCCTGATCATCTAAGAATTGTCCTGACACATTACAAATTTGGATTTTTGAAAAAAATGTTTTAACTCAGTCCAGACCAGAACCAAAATGGCGTCGATCTCTCATATTTCGATCAATATACAATTATCGAAGGCTCTGATATGAGAATCGAAAGGGTCAGGACAATTTTACGACAATTTAGAACACTCTGGTAATCGGTAAACTCGGATTTGAACGGGGTAAAGGCAAAAAAAGTGTTGTATGCGCTTCTATGCTAAAACGATGGGAATACGAGGTTACTAAGAGCGCCAAATGACGCCCGACGTTTGGTCCAATATTGCCTGCACAGTCAGACGAATTTCGCCCATATGTCAAAATGGCTCCGTGTTCAAAGGATTAACTATTACGGGCGATATATTAAGTCGTCCAGAAAGCTCAACGGATTTCTCCAAATTCTTCTATTTTCGCGGATATAGAAAACGAGCCCTTAATATCGGCCCGTTTTGTATTCTCATAGAGAAAAAATTACGATTAACTCTTTGGCTACTAAGAGCACCTAAAGACGCCCGACGTTTGGTCCACTATTCCCTGCACGGTCAGACGAATTTCCCCCACATGTCGAAATGGCTCCGTGTTCAAAGGGTTAAGGTAGCTGTGCCACGCGAAGCTTGTCACGTTATTCCGAAGAGATAGCGAGAGAGGAAGAAGACCGATCGAAGTTTAGAACCGCGGTTTGATATTAAAAAGAGACGGGAAAAATCGAAAAAAAGATCGAAACTCACCCTTTTTCGCGTGCAAGATGTCCGCGGGGTCCGGAGGCAGCGCCGTGCAGTGGCTCGGACTGAGACTAGGCTGCAACGAGGGGAAGGGGCTCCCGGCGCCGGAGGGGTACCTGAAAATACGAATCTTCAACTTCTCCACCCTTATTTCAAGAGACAGACATCGAAAGGTGAAATGAAAAATCGAAAGGTTTTTCTTTAATCGAGGTCAAGTACGAAATTCACTCGCTATTCCCTCGAAAATCGGTGAAAACGATTTTCTTCCTTGAGAACCGATTGCTCTTGACTCGAGGGGGTATTTACTCAGGAAGACATGGATTTTAATACGCTCGAAATCACTGGAAATCGTTGGAAATCACCAAAACATGTATTTTGATGTAATTTCATATGAAAAGTTTCAAAGCATGAGTATACCCAAAGTCCTACGTCACGTATCTTACTTTGGGAATGCGTTTGTCGTTGCACCCCATTTTTAATACAAACGATACCCTTTCTCAATCCGATTTTTCGTTTCGTTTTCGCGCTAGTGTAAATCCCCGGGAAGGGTCTACCAGTAAGCCTAAAAGGATGTTTATCCGTGGATCTAGGAGCGCTTTGTCTCCAATCGTCTTTATGGTATTTCCGTAATATTTGTCTTATCAATTCGAGATAAAAAGCAGCTATGGAAATATCTTTGGGTGTTTTGTATTTATATAAACGATAAGAATTCCAAACGGCAATGTCTAACGAATGAAAGAAATACTTCTTAGCGAGCGCCAGGCGTTGGGTGACTATAGTCACCGTTAGTAGCGAAAGGGTTAAATTTGTGGCAATGATTTGTGGATTTCCATCGATTCCCAGATGATTTCCACGTGATCTCGAGGATTAAAATCCATGATTTCCGCCCTCGGTTAAAACCGTCCGGAAGAGCCATACGCTTCGGGCAAGGTCGCTCTAAAATGAAAAAACGAACCCGATAATTCAAATGACTAACAAATAAATATCTCCGAACTCATTGGCGGGTCTGAAAAATCAGGACATTTTTCCATAAATTGTCTAGACGAAACGAGATCTTGTAACATTAGATCATTTTGCCGTATCATGTCCGATTAAAAAACATCCGAAATGTTTTTAGAAATTTCTTCGATTCCTTTTTACAATAACTAGTGCAGGGGGTCTCTCAAAATATTGCGTTTATTTGCAAAATACCGACCAGGGGTTGGGCCTTGGCCAGCCTGTGGTCTGGCCGTTGAGAAGCCTCAGCTTATCGTAGACGCTCTCCGCAGGGCTGCCGGCGCCGACGCCGACGCCGACCGCCGCGACGCCCTGCTGCTGCTGTTGCTGCTGCTGGCGCTGCTCCTTTTGCGCGGCAAGGTTCCTCAGGACTCGGTTGATGGACGAGACCTGGAATGCACCGCATAAGATGAGTCTCAGCTAGACTAGGTACCTAAATTCGCCCCCTTAACTCTTTAGCCCTTTTAGTGCCGGAGGCCGATATATCGGCCCTCGCTGCACTGGCGAAAAGTGCCAGAGCCGATATATCGGCCGCACCTTGTAGCGCTTTACTATTCGCTTTGCGAGAGATCTCTATCTCAAAATAAATTTATAATACGTTATAAATAGTCTAATTTCATTACGAGAGAATTAAAATAACGATATAACAACACCTATAACAACCTATAACCCACCTGTAACGACCTATAACCTATAACAATTACTTGTTTCGGATGAGATAATCCGTCCGGCGCCTCCCATGTGCCTTGGAGTTATTTTTTATGTTTCTCGTGCAATATTACTTATTTTGTTAAAAAATATATTGGAAATTTAAAGTATATACTTTGCAATAAACGGTCTATATAAATTTATGATAAAAAGATGACTTTTCCTATGTGCAATTACGTTTTGAAACGAAGAACTCAATTTTTCTTTTTTTTTTTATCACATATACCTTTGTTATTTATGTTATTTTCAATGAATATAGAAAAATTGGCGTCACTGTTTTATTCTCTATGAAACTCTTTTCCAAACTGGGTTTACCGAATCCTTCCAAACTTTACAATGTGAACAAGAGGACTATAAGGAAGGCCCCAACACCCATCAAATTTTAATTCTTTAAAAATTCTTTCCAGATATTTTCCCAATTTTATTCAAAAAAGGAATCTTCAAGAGGGTCAAGACCTTCGCCATCGCCTCCACCTTCACGTTCTCGTTTCAAATTACATGGTACACCCAGTTCGTAGAAAAGTTTCACGAACGGTTGATTTCTCGAATGCCACTTTTACATCCCCTCAATATCTCCTATCCCCCTAATGAGACATTTCAAGTAATTACCTAATTACCACCCGCGTGGCGGGGCGATTACCCGTTGGAAAATCGGAAGGGGCGAAGGAGGTCTCTCGAGGTGTCTCCGGGATTAATAACAAAATAAAAAACGAGAGCAGAGAAAATCGGGGGGGAGAAAAAAATTAGCCAGCGGTAATCACTTCGATTTCCGATGACGATTACATATCGGAGGGGGGAGGGGGGGGGGGATCGACCAATAGCGCGTCGGGACGCCTTCGGGACGTCCTCGAGGAGCATCCCTCGCGGCGTCGGATTTACCGGAAACACCCCTCGAAGGGATCCAACCGCGAGAGCGCGGGGGGAGNATATCTCGCGACCCGATACTGGCCGATCAACGCTTTTGACGAGATATCTCGCGATTCGATACATGTTTATAAATGATTGAAACTGAACATGCATTGAAATGTTCAACAAATATTTCAGATATTGTCGAATGAAATCTACGAGACATCGTAAAATATCTGTCGCTTGAGATATTTAGCAAAGATTATAAACAAATATTTAGAAATTATTCTATGCTACTAGGTAGTGTTAACCGTAAATTAAATCACCAGAAGCATCATTATAAGGTGTAAAATGTTTGAATTCTTCGAAAGTGTTGGGACCGATGATTCGGGAAGAATCATTTGAAATCATTTACAGATCAGTCTTAAGGCGATGTGAAAGTGGCGTCAAAGAGGTTTCATTTATGAAACTTTCCTCCGAGCCGGGTGTACCGAATCGATTCAAACTTTACGATATAGACATGGAGGGAATAAGAAAAGTCCTGGAACTCATGAAATGTCAATTTTTCACAAATTTCTTCATAGATATTTCTTCAAAAGTGTAGGGACCGATGATTCGGGAAGAATCATTTGAAATAATTTACAGATCAGTCTTAAGGCGACGTGAAAGTGGCGTCAAAGAGGATGAACATTTATGAAACTTTCCTCCGAGCCGGGTGTACCGAATCGATTCCAACTTTACAATATAAACATGGAGGGTATAAGGAAGATCCTGGACTTCATGAATTTTCAATTCTTTTCAAATTTGTTTATAGGTATTTTAAAAATAGTTTAGAAGAAATGAAGTTTCGCGAGTTTCAAGACCTACCTTAGAGTCTCCATATTCACGTTTTAAAGTATGAAACGATTTGAGACGCCCAGTTCATAGAAAAGTTTTATGAACAATTGACCTTTCGGATGCCACTTTCCCGAGTGCGAGCCTTTGCACGAAGAAAATCAAAATCGGAGAGTCAGAAACCCCAGGAAATCGTTAGAAATTGCCGAAACACCTTTGCAAAAATCTGAACCGTCAAACGTTACGTATTATCGAATTATCATGTAGTGCCTCATACAAGAACACTGATAATCGGTTCTTAAAAAATTGTAGATTTCCCGGATTTCCAGGAAATCGTTAGAAATTGCCGAAACGTCTTTGCAAAAATCTAAACCGTCGAACGTTACGTATTATCGAATTATCATGTAGTGCCTCATACAAGAACACTGATAATCGGTTCTTAAATAATTGTAGATTTCCCGGATTCCAGGAAATCGTTAGAAATTGCCGAAACGTCTTTGTAAAAATCTGAACGGTCGAACGTTACGTATTATCGAATTATCATGTAGTGCCTCGTATGAGAACACTGATAATCGATTCGTAAATAATTGTAGATTTCTCGGATTCCAGGAAATCGTTAGAAATTGCCGAAACGTCTTTACAAAAATCTGATCCGTCGAACGTTACGTATTATCGAATTACCATGTAGTGCCTCATACAAGAACACTGATAATCGGTTCTTAAAAAATTGTAGATTTCCCGGATTTCCAGGGGAGTACTCTCTCGAGCTTGCGTCTCCCGGAGTATTGAGAAAGAATTAACAGTTAACCCCCCCCCCAAAAAAAAAAAACAGAACATTTTCCTAGCACGAACAATCGGGAAAGAATTACCTTCGGATACCCTTACCTCACCCTCTGCCCCAAAGAGAAATTTCTGGACGCGGCAGAGATCGTCCGCCTCTCCTGGACAGTTCCGTCGTTCGGGGGAGTCGCAGGGGGGTATAAAAAACCGGGGGAAAGAAAAAAAGAGAGAGAGAGAGAGCGAGAGAGAGGCTGCGTTTCAATTCCCGGGCTCTCCCGTTGTTCCCGGGTTCCAGGGGATCGGCCGTCGCCATGCGGCGGGCCCGCCGAGACAAACGGAGGCAGAGCTCGCTCGCATTCTCCGCGAAGGGGTGATTGGAGGCCACCCCCCGCGGAGAGGAGCCGTCGAACTCTTAGGCCCTTGGCGGGCGCGGCACCTGCTCGCCACCGAAGGGTTTTGTAGGGAAGAAGGAAGAAAGAGGGACCTCCGCGCTCTTCGCCCCCTACCTCCCCCCGGTCCTTTTTTATATATCTCCCTTTTCTCGCTCTCCCGTCGAATGCGCGACGTCCGCGACGACGACGACGGCGACGTCACGTCACGGGGCACGTCGATACGAGAGAGGAGGGTGGTCGAACAATGCACCCCTCCGAGGGCCTTTGTCTCCACTTCCACGGGGGTTGATTAATATATCGCGGGCGCATCGTCGCCGAGGAGGTCGCCCCCCGGGTCAGGAGTCAAGGGCGCCTCCCCCGCGGGGGCCAAACGGCCGAAACTACCCCTAAAGAGGCGCGGAAGAAAGAGGACTCTCCGTCGAGCGAGAAGAGGAGGGAAGTGCAACGAAAAGGGGCTTTTTTTTTCAACCGGGGGGCGTCTTTCGTCGATGGAGATTAGAGCCCCCCTCATCCCTCCTCTCGTGGGGGGGGGCCGGATGCCGCGCGAAGGGCTGCGGATATATCGATTGGCGTTACAAGGCGAATCGGATGGGGGGTGGAAAGAAATCCGCGCCGTCAACCCCTGCCAGGGATGCCACCCCCCCGCCCTCCGGGGACGACCCGCGACGGAAACGCTAAGAGAGGCGCGTTTCGTCCCTTTCTTCCGCAACGTTTCTCGTATATAAATCTCCGAGGAATAAATTGACCCTTCGTGGGATGGAAAATAAGATAAGGTACGGTAAGGGGTTTATTTCTTAAACTCTCCTTGAATACTCGACAGAACGTCCCGACCGAGTGGTGTTCCATTTCTACTTGGACTTTCTTAACCCTTTCGTTACCTTGGACGAGATATCTCGCGACCCAATACTGGCCGATTAACGCTTTTGACGAGATATCTCGCGACCCGATACTGGCCG